GTGATTGGTTCGGCTCTGCGCTACTTAATTTGGATTGGCTGTCCTTTTTTTTTTTTTTTTTTTTTTTTAGGACAAGAGCGGCGAGGTCTATCGCGATAGCTTAATTTCTCTATCGAGTAAAAGTTATATCGCGATACATATCGTTATCGTTCTATCGCCCAGCTCTAGGAAGTAGTGATGTTTTAGTTTTGTGAAAAAGGTAAAAATGAGTGTGTTACATTACCATTCAGTTTGAGGGTTACAACAGAATATTATATATTTATTGTTCTCAAGTGGTATCGGACAGGATTATTTGAACAAAGAAAGGACATTTTCCTGATAATTATTTTTATCCTCCTCTAACTTTACTATATAAAGAGCTAAAACCTCCAACGTTTCAGGAGTAGTTAGTCGTTGTAAGAAGTGTTTCTGAACTAAAAATCATGAATGTGGGATACTGTTTGTCTGTGATTCAGAGAGCCTAGCGTGTACGCAGGGGGGAAGAATTATGTCGGGGATACCGATAATCTAAACAGTTTCGTGGGTCGAAGAAAAAAAAACTATGAAAAACACTTTTTTTCATACTTGTGTTAAGTCTTGTATAGAAATGACACAAAATTCAGTCTCCGGTTAAATGTGATAGAAACAGCTTACATTGACATCCATCTTTATAAAAGTGTTGTGAAACCATGTTTGCATTTATTTACACTGCTTTCCACTCTGTATGTCTATTTATGTTAAGCTTTAAGTATAAAAGGGTCCATTCTACAACCTGTTTTTATTTTTTTTTATTTTTTTTTAGTTTTGTGCTGATATTGCCCTTCTTTTTTCAGAACCAAAGACTTTTTGAAATCTTCATAAAATTGCATTTTAAACTACTTTTGGAATATTACTTTAAATATTTAAACTTTTAGCAGAACTTTAAATCTAAATAAAAAGAGCAGTATTGCTGAACTGCGAAATATTTTGGGTGCAGTGTATTTTTTGCATACAAGTGTAATAGGATGGCTTTAGTGTTTTGTTTTTTTAAAACTGTAGTATGAACTTTTCAAAATGCAGCAAGATATTTAAAAAAAAAAAACAGGTTTTTTTTATTATAAAAATAGACTATATCGGATTCATATCAGTATCTGCAGATATACAAATTTATGATATCGGTATTGGTATCGGACATAAAAAAGTGGTATCGTGCCATCTCTAGTTATTACACACATGTGTGGGCATAACTACTTGATGACCTGAGGGGTCGTCTTAGGTTAAAGATACCAAACAGGTCAGAGATGTACTGTGAGGGAGCAAACCACTGAGATCTTTATAAACTAATAGAATGATTTTAAAACTAATTCTATATATAAACCTGAAAGCTAACAAAGTGACTTTTATACTGGGTTAAAGTAGTGTCACTGTCCAAGAATGTTGACAAGGTTTCTGACTTGGCATTGACAGTGACCCTGGGGGATTCATGGGTGGTGAGTGCTCACAGCAATGAACGATGGAGGGATGGACCAGCATGCAGCAGGTCAGGTCACATTCCTGACCTGTTACGGCTTCTTATAGCTTGGAAACTGCAGAATCTTCCTCTGATAAAATGTTTTTTTGATCAATCTGACATAAGGTTTTATGCTCGTGCTTGCAAATGTATACAAGCGAGTGGTCAGACAGTGATCCCAATGAAGGAGGAATCTGAGAAGAACAAGGACAAGACCTTGGGAGGGACAGCAGGACAATTAATTTAAGATGTACTTTTATGAGTGGAATGGTTGATCTTTTTGACTGCTCATTGTACTGTACATTTACTGTGTGTCGTCTGACACCCTCAACATGAAATGTGCGCTCTATTGCAGGTTATGGACAGATTTAAAAGTGTCCAAAAATCACACTTAATTGCTCATTAGAGTTAACTGACTGTTATATAGGCAGTAGTTAACGAACGAATGAGAAAGCAATCTTCAGACGGCCTTTGTCTCTTGCTAGTGGAATATATCGCCAGAGTACCACTTTAAAGTACAAACGAGGCAATCAAAAGTTTTAAAGTACTTTCTAAAGAGCAGACTGTTGTCTTATAATTGCCATCAGTTGACTTGTTTAAAAAAAAAACTGCAGTTAATATTGTTTTAAAGACACAAAAGTCTGTGTCCTAAGAGGTGCAGTTAGACAGTGTTTGGGGATGGAGGCAGAAGGTTGTTTGCTTTATCGTCATTCACTTTGTTAGGACATGAGGTGTGGATAATTTGATATAACCTTTTCATTAAAATGTTTTACATTCAATCTGTTTCAAAGTCAGCGGAAATCAAATCTCTGGCAATCGAATGCTGCACCGCGCCAGTAAACAACATGCTTGCTCGGTGTTCAGGTAATGAGGTTTTACGTGTTGGAAAAGCGAAACAAACAGGGTTGCATAGATATCTTAATAACTACGACCATCCCCACCACCCACACACACACACACACACAACAGAATATAAATTAACAAGCTGCAATATCTTAACTAGAGAGACGTGTATTAGACCAGACAACAGAACATTTATTTGGCTCATTTGTTCAGTCAGGATTTTAATTTCAGCTGCTATAATTGCTGCCTGAGCTTAAGTATGCATCTGTGATGGCAACACCCGACCCCATGGGCAATGCAAACACTGCAACTGTGGCTGTGAGTGGCATCATCAATTAGCAGCCTGAGGAAACCTGCACCCAGAAGACAATCTGCATTCAGAATAACACACACAAAGAGCAAAAGTCTAAGTTCCCAACCTTTCAGTATCCAGGCTGGGAACTTAAAAAGAAAAAAAAAAACACTTTTAAATGACTTCTGGAACTGCTCAGCACTCTCTTAATTCTCTCTTATTTTTGTAGGTAAAAACACATTCAGTGACTGCAAACATGGGTTAAGACTGCACACTAATTCTCAATCATTTATTTATCATACTGATGAGGATGTAAACAAACTTTCTCCAATCTTCTCTGTGTTTACAGAGAACTGTAAATACTCACCACTGTCTCTATAGTGAGCTAAGTAGTACTGCAATTTAAGAGAGTAAATTTAATAATGTTATAATGTGCCATTGCTTGAGAAGTTCCAATACAAATTTTTGGCCAAGAGCTGGATGTGGCATTCAAAGTTCATTTAGATAATACTTTAGAATAAGTGTGCTAATAAGTGCTTATATGCAATTTAAGATGATGACTTTAAAGACTTGCTTCTAAAAGGACCCTGGTTTGACTGTCACCCTCTGTCAGGTGTTTGTGTTTATTGCTTTATTGTGTAGCGGTTAACAATAGGAGGAAAAGAGCAGCATAATTTTTACGTAGTTAGTTAGTTAGTTCTTTTCTTTTGTATCCATCATCTACTACCTGCAAATCACCTTGGGCTCACCTCAGGCTTCTTCAGAGTCATTTTGTGACCCTTAATAACCATCTACTAAAACAGTCTGTATAACATTTAGGCTCCGATGTCTTTTATGAAGTAATATTATTGTGATTGTAGAAATGCCACCGAGTACTGAAGTGCAAAGAAGAGAAAGAGATTAAGAACAAATGGAGCAATACATTTCTATAATTTAAAAGGAGAAAATAAAGTGACTTCAGAGGAGTGACTGTTCAGAGGGGAGTAAGTACCGCCAGGAAGAAATGAGTTTTCAGTCTGATGAAGGACCCTGCTTCTGTGATTATTCCAGGAAGCATTGCATTTCTGTCTGAGAAAGCTTTAAAAGAACAATAAAGGCTTGCTGTGATTACATCTTCCTTAGATTTACAGGTCACAAAACAAGACATAAATGATAAGTCTGCAGTACCAGCTATATTATTTTAAATCTATTATATCCATGTTTTGTTACTGTGGATGCACACAGACAGGAGGTATATGGTTTTGAACAGTGAACAGTGAAATGAGTCCTAAAGAATCATCTAAACTGAAGCTATTTGGCTTGTTCATTTATTGTAATGACAAACAACCACTGACACAGCAGTATTTGTGTTTTGATATTTTAAGAACAGTGAATAATAAACAAGAAAGGTAAATACTTTATTGATGCTCACTTTCTATTTTGACTAAAAAGGGTTGCACAGAATATAGTTGCTATGCCAGTGTTCAGAGCTGTTAAGTGGATACTTTCATGATTAACAGGCAATATGAGCTGCTTAATGTTCCACATAATCTTAATGGTTTATTAACCGTTTGCACTTATGAGATCATTAGGTAGGATAATTAATGTAATAATTACCAAAGATTTCTATATTTTCTTAATCTTGCACTGATGTGATGAATTGATGTTAATATTCAATGTGAGTTTGGATATGCACAGAAGGTGAAATTAACAGGAATGCATTGCAGTGCACACACAGTTTTATTGCTTAGTTTAAAAAATAGAAGCATTCCAGCTGGTTGCTCTCAAAGTAAGGCTGATGTAGTTTTGATTGGAGGGCGGTATCAAATGACGTTTACTCTTTAAAGGTCTTTTATTCTGTGACACAGTCACATCTCTGTGAGATTCTTTGTAGCTCATTTTATTTCTGATTGGCCATCGCAAATAGATGCTTTTAACGAGTTCTTCTGGGTGTTTTCTCTGGATTTTAGTGTTGCTTTTACCCCCAAACTTTAATATAAAATACCCTACTAAGTGATGGGATTTCATAAGGAATTGTGAGAACTGAAAGAAAAATAGTCCAGCTGAGAAAAAAATCATTTTTAAAAAGAAATGGATCCAAGCAACATCAAACACCTGCTGGCTGAAGAAGCTATACTGCTACTTAATTTAGCAGGCTGCTACCTACTTGTTTAACAACAACCCATATGGAAAAGATATATATATAAATCTTATAAAGTTTGTATCTGTCTTGTGTGAAACTTGTATGAAAAGCATATAAGAGTGAAAACAGATGTAAGATCCCTTGAAAAATTATATAATGAAACTTAATGAAACATAAAAGACCTTTAAAGAGTAAACGTCATTTGATACCGCCCATCCATGGGATGTGATTACTCATGAAAGTGGCCACTTTCATGAGTAATCACATATAAGTTTTTACTATTTCTTTTCCATATGGGAAGACTAGCTGACACGAGCCAGAATAATCCTGATCAGGAAGGATCCCCACAAGACAAACTGAAGTGCTTGGAAATATATGAAGTGGCCCAATAACTTTTTTCAGGAAGAGGACTGAATATTTGTGGTTGAATGGTAGTAAAGCTATCAAGCTGATCAAGACTAAATAGGTGGAGTTATCGAAAATACAAAACAACTACAAGTGTCTAAGTGTCCCACAGTCCAAAGGGAATCATGGTGAAGATGCAAGAAGGTCCCCTAATAGCCAAACATATTCAGTAGGTAAGACGGGTGCTGAGAATCCAGTTAACTGTATGAATAAAACATAAGCCCTACTGGTTGGAATAATAACCTGGCCACAGGGGGAGACAGACACTGAGGTCGAGACATGAAAACAACTCTCAATGCACAAAGATTTCCACCCAAAGTCTAGTACCCTGAGGGTTGGAAAGTGAGAGCTGAGAATTAGTGAGTGTCAGAGCACAAACGAGGGGAAACCATGAATATTTCAGGATGATTGCCCCATAAGATGAGTTGCTAGAGACAGATGTACCATGGGATGTACAATCAACAGATTGAAGAGGTGGTTAAGGTTTGGTTCTAGATTTGGACTGAAATTACCTGTTGCATGTATTTGTGGACTACTTTGAGTATTTTGAACAGACTGCCTCTCTAGAGAGCAGCTGCACACCCCCCGAAATTTAGGCTTTGGGTTGTCAGGTTGCATATAAACACATCCATCTGTATTTCCTCTCTTCTTTTCTCTTGTCTGTGCACAGTCTAAGTAGAGAAGCCCAGCTCATCTTTTACCCAACCCCCTCTTCCAGCTCATCTGAGGGAACACTCAGGGGTTCCCAGGGCAGCTGAAAGACATATCTTTCCAACATGTCCAGGTTATCCCAGGGCCTCCTACTGGTAGGACAACTTATCCAGGAGGCACCTAGAAGGCATGCCAGTCTGATGCCCAACCACCTGAATGACCAAACCCCTCACCTCATCTCTGAAGGAGAAGCCAGCCAGCCTTTAGAGAAGCTTATTTTAACTGGGATCTCAGCCGGGATACTTAAAAATGTACTTTGGACGCAATTTGTCCCTGACCTGGACACAATTTGTCACTCTTTGCATTGACAGGTGTCTTGAAATTGTATGCAGTGTAAAATAAATGCAAATGCATAATAAAACAGGAGGGAAACCTAAAATGTAGGAGAAGCAGGTTCATGAGTAGGCAACATGAAAATACTACTGTGAGGCAAAAAAGCCATCACAAAAAAATGGCTTTCTTCAGAGAGCCCAACTATGAACATGTGGATGAACATCACATTGGACATTTACAGAATGGAGAAAATGACAGCAGATGTGAACTACAAGAGGGACCTGTTTGTATCACGATGGAAGAAATGGATGGACTATATTAGAAAACGCAGGCCAGTTTTTGCTTATAATTTTGACTTTGTTAACTACTAGAAGACTAGAGGAAATATTAGTTATATTAAGGGAAACAAAAACACACTCCCTATATTTATTTATTTATCTATTTTTCTTTCCTTTTTCTTTTTCCTTATGTATTTTTTATTTATGTTGTTTGTTGTTTCCTGTTTTGCTTCTTTTTCTTTTCTTCTTCTTCTTTCATTCTTATTGTATGGATATTTCAGTTGTTTGAATATAGAAAAAAAGAAAAAAAGATATGTACTGAAAGATAGCTGAAGTTGATGGCATTGTATAGTGATTCTAAAATGTCAATAAAAAAAAAAGAAGAAAATACTACTGTGGTCTGCACCAAAGTAAGACTGATATCACCAGTAGATGTCAGCTGGCAGAAACATATTTCCCCAAATACCACACATATGAATGGGCAGTTTCATGTCGTCTCTGAGTCAGTGGCAAACAGTCTTTCTTTTTCTGTCTGCTTTTCCACTCACCACTTCAGCATCACTGCAGTTTAACTCTAGCCAGACAGAGCATTTGTAACAAGTCATTTGCCTCTTCAAATTTTAATTTAGATGAAATAAAGATACACCCCCTAGTGAGACAGGATGAGTGTAGAGGAGAGCAAGTGTGCGTGAATGTTTTAAAAATCCTCTAGTACCGCATCTGTCTGGGTGAAATACTCCCTTTACATTGTTCCCACAGAGAGAGTCAGAGGAGAAGAAGAAAGATAAAGCCGTTGGATGCAAACCAGCATGTCTAAAACTTTTAACAGTTCAGCTCAGGACAGGAATAGTAAATTTCTCTCTTACACACACACACACACACACACATACACAAACATGCAGAGACACAAACACACAGACTGTCTCAAAGCTTGCCTTTTGCAGCAGTATCTGATGCTACAGCTCATTAGAGGAACTTCCTCAGATAAAGCTTCCATAACTGATCTTTTATTCAGAAAAACTGTCAGCGGCAGCTCATGCCGGTGTTAACATCAGAGCTATAAGGCAGAGACAAGACGGATCAAAATGCTTAATGAGTAATGACGATGAGTACTTCATGTCAGTGCCCATGTTGCTTTGGATATTAGAAGTATCTCTGAGACCGTGACGTTAGACCTTTTGTGAAAGCTCCGCAATATAAAGTTCATCCAATCCACCATGCAGAATGCATTTTAATGAACAGACTTTGTTTCAGTGAAATACAACACAGTGGGAGGATGTGTGAACATGTTCTAAAAGTGAAGTTTTTTTAAATGAATTATTTATTATATGTGAATCGGAAATGAATGATTACATTTGATGGACAACCTTTATAACACTTTACCAGATTCACAATGACAAATGTATAAACTTACATTTGTATTCCTGTGTTGAAATATATGCGGTAGCCTACGCAGGTGGCTGACGTCATTGTAAGCATTTATAGTTTATGTTTGTCTACAGTGGCTGGTAGGGGAGTTTCTATGCCACGGTGTTGAGTTTGATGTCTACTTCAAACAATAGAGAATGAAACTGAGCTGACCGGGTTGGAGTTTGAGTTTATAAATGTTTAACAACAGTTACTTTTAGTGAAATTGTTGCAACACTGAAAAAAAAGAGAATATGTCAGAACCAATCAAGTAAAGACCGGATTGGGTAGAGTTACGAAAATGAGAAAACGGCATGTTGCTATGCTGGCAGTACTGCCTATTCGGTATGAATTAGGGGCAAGCCAGATACATTTGCGCCTCATTATATATTGCAGTTTCTTTCAAAGAAGCATTACCTTTACAAAAATCAATATCTTCCAGTCAAAGGTGGTGTGGCATGGTTAGCTGTGATGTATAGTTACATTTATGGCAAAGTGCACATCAGGCTATACTGTCACTGTCAATCACGATTAATGGATTGATCCATCCATCAGTGGATCCATCACTGGTCAGCCCCGGCAGAGTTGACTAATTCCCAAAGGTCTGGAATGGGTCTGATTTACTGATGGAAATACGAACAAAGCGCTCACTACGGCGCTGGAGGAACCACAGCGAGCTATAGATCCCAAATTGCCCACAGCGTTCTTCCTCCTGGATCTGAAGTTTGACTGATGGGTGGAATCATCTGTCCATAACCCGGACATAGACTTTGCCATGGAAACCAAGTGCTGAAGTCTGTGACTTAATGTTGGACTTGATGAGCCCAGCTCTGTTGGGGGTGGACATTAAAGATCTTTGCAGACTGGGGCCTGTGGAGGTCATTCCAAATGCAATCTCACTATATATTTGGATACTCGAAGCCTGTCCAGCAACCTTCCCTACCACCAGGGGATTAGCAGCTCTGCTCTTCTCTTCACCTGAGACATATGGCCACAGATCTAATGGTATGATTACAAAAACAAACCAGGGACCTGTCAAAGCTCTTTATTATGTTTGCTGAAAAAAGTGAAAAGATAACTTTGCATTCTTAAAAACCTTCTTTACCTCAAATAGTTTTCAATAATGTGTTTAAAGTCTCTGCAGTCTCAAGAATCATCAAACACTGTGATGAATCTCTCGCGAGGAACGTTCCTAGGAAAGTAAGGCCAAGAGTTCACTCTACTGCAGAGCATCAGGTCATTAGAGTTACCCAACCTCAGAAATCGCCAATTAACAGCACATCAGATTAGAGCCCACATCAATGATTCCCAGAGTTCAAATAGCAAACGCATCTCATCATTAAGTTTTGGAAGAAGAATTTGGCCCTCAAACTGCTACAAATAAACCAATACTAGTGAAAGAGACCAACAAGAATCAAAGTGTTTAAGCTAAGAAACACAAGACCAAGATCATTTTTTATAAATATTAATATACATATGAAGCACAGTGAGAGAATACCAAAAGTGAAAAGAAAGTCTTTATCAAAGCAAAAAGAACTTCCTACATGAATTCAAATGTACTTGATTTTTCTGATTAGATGGAACAAAGTAGCAGGTAAGTGTATTTACCTGCAGAGGTGTTCGAGGTTTCACAGAACACAGATTTTTGAGGGAAAACTACAGAAAACTGGATACTTGTTCCTCTTTGACATACCTACATATAGTAATTAACAAGGCTACCATAGAGATTTAAGGTGAATCTGAGTATGTTCTGTTAGTAAAATATTGCATGTATATTGTAGTTCTGACTCCATCTTACTTTGAGGAAGATCTGTAGCTCCTGGGACTGTGTGTGCTGCAGGATGTCTGGTTGCAAGTGCTTAAATATGGCCACACACATGTAAACCTGGTAGTCAGGACCCATCACCACACAGGTGCAAATATAGTGGCAAATCTCTGTCCAGTCCAGGTAGTTCCAGAAACACTGAGTCAGCCAATGGAGGCACATCTGTAGTGGAAAAAAAAGAGAAAAAACAAACGTTATTAGGATTTCAAGCTGACAAATCGCGAACCCCACATGTAATTAAAAGTGTTCTGCTCTACAACAACAGCAAACTATGAGTTTGGCAGCTATTGTAACTACATAAAAAAAGAAATATGTTACTCAGACATCTCATCCTTAATATCTTTTCAGCTTTTCTTTAATTAGTTTTGTCAATCAAATATTTAAAAACAAACCAACTTAACACATAACTTTGCACAGTATCTCGTTTCTGAACCGAGCTTGTTCAAGCATTTAATTAAACTGGTATAAATCCACCAGACAATTAAATGTAAATAAGGAGAACATAAATGATAAGCAAACACAGAAAAATATTTACATGTAGTTACAAAACCATGGAAGCACAAATGATAAATATTAAGTCATGTTTATCTGAAAGGCACCCATCTACTACAATTATCTAAAGTTATCTGTTTCATACTATATATGTGCGTTTGTGAGATCTGAATATCATCATTGGGAACTAACTAGTCTTTGTTCGTATTGTAGGTTATTTCTCTCTTTTTGCCTTGCAATGAAACAAAAGGTATGTTAATATAAACACATGGATACAAGATGTAGCTCAATAACTACAAAAAGGCACTTATGCTAGGCAATTCAGCACATCCATGTCTAATAAACAACAGCTTCTACTACATTTACTATAAAGCTGAAAACCTGTTTAAATTTCTATTTACACACAAAGTGAAAAAAAAATGGTTGATAATCTCTTAAAATACACATTTGCATGGTTGGGTTTATGGACAATGAGTTTACATTTCTTGTGCAAGTGTCTAAATGTATTTCATTTGCTCAGCTTTCTGAGTCTTCCAGGAAACATGTTTACTTTGAGAGTGAAAAAATATTCACAAACTCTCTGCAGACATTAATACTGAGGTTGCATTATGGGACAAAGAGACATGGAGATGCATGCTAATGTTTACTTCTCCAGTTGATGACTGAGATAAAATTAGTGACCTTAATGCAGTGGTTCATGATGGGATTCCCACCTGATCTCAGTGAAAAGAACACAGAGTTCTACATCATCTTTAGAAAAGAGCGTGTTTACCAACTGATGACATAGGCCGAATGTTAATTTTAAAAAGTTAGATATATTTACAGCAGTGTATTTTTCCAAATCTTAACAGAGTCCCTAAATTCAGTAAATATATACTGAACAACAGCAGCACGGTGGTGCTGTGGTTAGCATTGTTGCTTCACAGCAAGAAGGTTCTGGGTACGAATCCAGCATTTGCCCAGGGCCCATCTGTGCTGATTGAATGTGAGTGCAAATGGTTGTCTGTGTTAGCCCTGTGACAGACTGGCAACCTATCCAGGGTGTACCCCTCCTCTCGCCGCTCTGGGATGGGCTCCACTCAACATTATAACTACTAAGATTGAAAAACTGAGGCATTATGGAATAGCGGTTACTCAATTATGCTAATCACTATTTTTGCCAGTTTTGAGGGAAAACAAATCATGCATCTATTTAAAAGGAGGAAAAAAAGGAATTGGGAAATTTAAGTGTAATTCAACTGAAAATTAAAAAAGCTTTTCCCCACCATAGGAGAACTTGGAAAGTAGCCACAGATGTGTTGACATGGGATAAACCCCCAGACACAGAAAATGTAAGAAATTAAACAAATAGCACCTCTGTTCCAGTCAGTACTTGCTCACTGTCTATCATCTGTCTATCATCATTTGAGCTTTTTGGATGAAGCAAAGACACACAACTGTAAAGAAGAGCAGTGCACTGGATTTATATTAAAAATCAAATTGCAGAACCATGTAGGGAAAAAAAAAAGCAAATAATAATTATTATTTTCATTATTACCTAATCACTAATAACGGGCCTGTCTGGTAGTTTTTGCTAACTTTTTAAAATTCAAGTGGGAAAACAGGTAAAACAATTGCTATTTTTCCCAGGATTAGATGTTCGAGCAAATTCACCCATGCAATTAGTGCAATGCTCATGCAATGCAAAAAAAGAAACTGACTTTGCAGGCCTCAGTTAACTTGAAGAATATTAAACTTTATGCCTGCAAATCCTGAACATGACAATATACCTCTGCAATGATGTAAAGTCAGGATTCCTTCAGGTCTTTGCTAGTAAAGGTGGTTCTGCAAGCTACTGAATCATGGGGTGTAGTTAGTTTTTCACATGACTACAAAGAGTCCACATGACTTTACATATCCTCAACTCATAAACCTTAATCTCAGCTCTGCTGTGCTTGAATACAACTGGGATATTGTTAGCAGCCTTTAGCCTTACTGAACTAGACATCCTCACTGTGTATCCAGTTTCACAAACTGTGCAATAATTAGCCACTATGTTCACAAACAACATAACTCTGCTCAAGCGTATAGAAATGCATAACCTATGCCCCATAAACCAGATTACAATTGTTCCCTCCTCCACTAAACTCTAATCAAAACACTGACACTCTAATTTGTGTGTTGTAATAACAACAGGGAATGATTGGCTCCATGCTGCCCTTACACACTCTTGTGGAAAACAAGTAAACAGACAAATACAGTGTTCTTACTGCGACTGTAAATCTATCCAAGGTTTTCCAAGTGCATCTTATTTCCTTTTAGCCCAAACTCGAGAGCATAAGGTGAATGTAAATCTATTTATTTATTCATTTATTTTAACCTTTCTTCTCCCAAATATCTGAACTGACAACTACAAGTGAGGCCACAGAGTCAGAAACACCCCAACCAAAAGTAACCATTGCAAATATCTGCTAACAGGGGTCTCCATTCAGTGATGCACAGAAGACCTTGAATAGTGTTGCAATTCTGTTTTACCGTCTTTAGGATCAATGTTTTGGTTTGAATGCCCTTAATATCACTGCTCTGAATGAGTTTTCATGAATTTGTTGTTTAATTTTATTGTTACAACGAGATTTTTAAAGTAGCAGGTAAAATGTCAACATTGTATCCGCCTCGCAAACTGGTAGATACCAAAACCGAGAAACAGAGAGATGAGAACAACTACTTCAAATTCTTGAGGGAAACAGGAATGTGATCCAATTAATCCGGCTCTGTGTCTTACATTCACCTAACATTTTATGTCAATGTTGTGTTTATGGCTTCTTTTTTCTGCACTCCATCTACAGTGGAGTGTTTCAGCTAACTTGTCTTCTAAAACCTCTAGCCTTTATGGGACAACATTGTTAAGTATTTGGGGTCATGTTTCTGTAAGTGTTTGGCGAATAATTCTACCTTTAGCTCAATTTTTGGGTGTCAACTAACTCCAGAGGTGATACCTGGAGGAGCAAGCGCCATTCTGTTCACCAGGGTGTTGATAACTGTGCCTGTTTTCTGCCTTATAGTTATAAAGTTCTGTGAAACTGAGGAGAGCTTCAGATTCATGTCACAACTTTCTGTAGTTTTGCTGCACATGATTTTCACTCTGCAGAATGACCTTAGAAGATGTTTTTTATTTTTCATTTTTAAAATTGAAGACACTTACTAATGCTTTGTTTCATGATACCTGTCACAAACACTCCCGATTCAAACGTTAAAACCTTCTGCAGATGGATTTTGAATGACTTCTGTGTCCACGTTCACACACAGACATTTGAATACACCCTTTACTGTATGATCGTCAGAGGCTTTTAATGCTTCATTTGCCACTGCTGCTTTGTCAGGATTTTAAAGTTCAAACTTTTGAAATAGAGTTTTCCATTTTTCACTGAAGAACAGGAGCCCATTATCGCCTTGAACAGCAAAGAGACCAGCTGAATGTTAACGCATTACTCCACCCCGGAGACGACGGGTTCAGATCTTTGATGCAAATGTGGCGACTCTTATAAGCACGCGTTCATTGTGTGAGCCTTCACTGTCAACTGGAGACACGCGGAAGACGAGATCAAACATGAGAGCGTTCAAGGTGAAAATGCTTTTCGTACCTCGTTGTTTGCGTTAGAGAAAAGAAGCACGGAGGAGAAGAGTTCTAACTTTTCAACTGCTCTGGTATTTAAAAACAAAGGGAAAAGGTTTCAATGTCAAAGCTGTATTGTGGTATTTTAAATTCGACTTAAGTCAAAGCAAAATGAAAAAGGAGGTCAATTACAGGGCAAGAACAAGTATGGTTATGAAAGGTTTTGCAACCTGATTTATTAAATATATACAGCATCCAAAAAACTTAACAGACTGTTGTCTGTCTTGCTGTAGATAGTTGCAGTCTAGCTGAAACTGAACATTTCTGTTCCAAATTCAGTTTCTTTTATTCCTTCCATTAATATTCATGATTATCCTTTGTTGATCTAAGAAAACCAAGGTTATTACTCCAAGATACCAAACTATTCCTTATTTGAAAACTAAAAGACTGCAGCCAAGTAAATATTATCTTCACAGACTTCATTAGCCTGACTTTAACTTTCTGTGACTCCTAATGATGTGAGTCTGTGTTCACATTATCACTTCAGTTGGTTACATAGTGTGTTTGGTTTCAGCAGCAGTTTTTAAGCAAACCTTCTCTACTTTGCTGCTTGAATTTTATGACAGAAATCAGTTGTGTTTGTTGGGTTTGTATGAACTTAACAATTCGCAGTGTGTATCTGATATCATTGTGGATTTTTGATAGTTACATATTTTTTTCCTTCCCAACAGGTTTGCTTGATAGGAAACCACGCAAGTGTGCAGTGCACAGCTCAGACTGTAAAAACTAATACAGTTAAATAGCTGTTAGGGGACAGAATAAAAACCAACAGAGGTGAACACAATAAACACCTAAACTAGTTTTGGAATGCTAAACATGCCACTGCTACAGTACATTTAAATTATATGGACTTCAGATCTTAGCAGAATGCATAATACTGTTAATAAAGTGAGAGCAAGTCACAGGGAGAGTGTGCAAGATTTTGTTCCTAGTTTAAGAATATTTAATCTTTAACATTTACCCATAATACAGCAGAAAATGAGTAGAGAGCATAATTTAAAATTCATGCTTCACCAACAATGATTGAGCTGTCTTTTTTTGCCACTGAAACATTACATATGCATTGTGTTTTAAAACAAAAGACTGAAATTATACTAGCAATGGTTTTAGTTTTCCCCTCAAATATATCAGTTAAACCTTTAAGCTGCAAAGTTTGCAAAGTCATTCTGGTTAATGACCAATCTGGTTTGTGTGTTTCAGAGGCTCTGAAGGCCCTAAAGCAGAACTGGCAGACATAAGCCTGCAGAGTAAGCCAATAGTGAAATCTGTAGATGGCAGATAAATAGTAGATAAATGTCCCTTTCTACCTCTATGAGGAGCAATTCTGCTTGTGATCCTATGGCACTCTACTTTTATATCACTCTAAAAATAATAAGGTGCACAAGGAGATTATCTTTATGGGGAAATTGGACAAATTTTAATCAGGTATTATGTGTGAATTTGCTAAATGTCATAAAACTATGACATTTAGTTTTAATAAAAATTAAAATCAAGAAACTGAAAACATGCTGATTTACAAATGTGCTGGATCAAACTGGGAATTTTGAAATTTGTTAATGTAGCCAGTGTTACAGATAATACCTGTGATGGGGTGAAACCAGACATCTTGAAGGCAGAGTGGACTAGAGGAACTTCAGCTTTCAGCAGCATCCCCACGTAGTGAGCTGTGCACCAGTAGACAGGAGGGATTCCTGATTCAGCCACTTCCTTAGAAAAATGGATCTGTCACAACAAAAACATCTTGATGTCATGACTTTTCTTGGTAATGATTTTGAAATAATGTTAGATCATACTTACACAACTGAGAAAAAACGCTTGAACGGAGCCGAGCTGTGA